ATTGTTTAAATTAAAATTAAGTGTGCTTGGTCGTTCGATGACACAATGGATTAATAGCTAAATAATTAACACATACGGCCAAAACAGTCCATTCATTATTTGTTTTTATGTCTAAATATGGAGAAAAGCTGACTAAAGATTGATTTGCAAACCATTTCTGTCGCTAAGTCACAATATTATATGCCATTTCCTACTCAAATTCACAGAGAGAAAAACCGAATGGTTAATTTTTTTTATGTAACAAACTTTGTTGTTTTTTAATGTGTCTTCTTTGTGGCGTTGTGTTATGTATAGTGATAGTTTATGGATTATTTTTGCAAGTTTTATCATACGATTAGTTGTCAGCGTTTTACACAAAGAGGCTCAAAACTATCGCATAAAAGGAGATGGAGCAAAAGAGAGAAGAAAAATGTCCGAATAAAGTATTTTTTTTTTTTGAAGTTTGGATCGGCTTCAGATTCATCAAATCTATAATTTGTGTGTGTATTGATGTTGTTTTTGTGGTCGTTTGAAGCATGAAGGCAACACGAAATGTGTATATGTGTATACCATATAAGTGTGTATCCGATATATTGAGCATGTCAATGGCAATGCGCTATCTATTCCATGTGCTTTGGGCATGGTTGTTTTTGTTGTGCTGTTATTTTGGATATATGAACATTTGGACATTGTATTTGTACTGCATCTGTATATAAATGTGTGTGTATGACAGCGTCAGCTGTGCCGGGAGCGATAACACACATTACAATAGAGACTTTTCCATGTTGCATTTTCAACATTACATATAGTTTTTTTTTTTTTGTTCATCGTTCATCGACTATTTACTGTGTGTCGGCAATCCATTTTGGAACTCCATTATCAAATTGACGGAAGCCAGTTCGGAACAGAGGAGCTCGTACAATAATCATTATGGTATCATCGGATAGTTTTGCATGTATGTTTGCGTAAACGTGCGCCAAAAAAATTCATGTGAAACTTTACTCTTTTCATTGTTAATTCAGTAGTTGAGTACTTGAGCCGTTTACAGTTGAGTCGACTCACACTTCCACTTGCTTAATGTTATTTAGTTTGTGCTGTCCCATTGGCACACTCGCATAAAATTTCGTACAAAAACAATAAAAGAGACAACAAACTTTCAAGATTTTATTTAAATAATAAACTTTCAAGTCGTTCACTTTCACAGTTTAATATAAAATTCGTAAACAAATCGAATAGATTGTCTTAAGAACGATATACGAAATTGGAAAAAGATAACAAAAACGTACACGCTCGCCCAAAATCAATGTGATGGTTGAACAAAAAAAAAAGTGTAGTAAATTCACGTTCGCATATGCAAATATTTCGTCATAGCACATTCAATATTAGCGCGTCCGATGTGTGTGATATCACAAATGTGAAAAGTGATTGAACTGTGTAACACTTGCCTGAATATCGATTAAGCTTCCATTGAAAGTTTCCGTTTTGTGAATCTAAAAAAAACGCAATAGGGTTTTTTTTGTCGTCATCATTGTTGTTGAGTCCAACGATGCATACAGTGAACTGGAAAGTACAAAATACGGTGTAAATGATGATTTATATGGGTTTCAAGTAGTACACAGATGTCAGTAATAACAACAAAACAGCGAATTGCGAAGAATAAGAAACGCACAAAAGACAAAATGGTCAATGGTTGTACGTGGATGTACATTGAAAATTATGTGGCTTGGATATGATTACAAGTATGGACTAATTCAATTTAAAGTGGCTGAATGAAAAAGCAACGCAAAAAAAACCAAAAGCAAAAGCGTCAAACGAAACAAAATCACACACTCAAAAAATACAGAGCACAGTCTCATCGAACAATGCAGTTGCTTCTCTGTTGTTTTATGACATTTACGATTTGCAAAAATTGAATCAAAAACAACGAAACAGAGAAATATTCAGACATTTTCATATCCATTCCAACAACAACAAAACATGCGATTCAATTGTGTGTTTTCGGTTTTAAACAAAATGACACTTTTTACCTAAATATATTTCATCGAAGCAAACAAAATTCAATATTAATATAACGGATTTTATTGCATGCAAAACAAGTCGGTTGACTGTACGCAAAATCGACATAAAAAAATCAAATTCCATTTATACATAATAACATACAAAGATCAATTGCGTTCACGTGTATTCGGCATACAACGACAACAAGTTGACGACATGAGCGCACACTCATTTGATTATCCACAATAACAAAAACAGCAACATTAAAATCAATAGAATCTTGTTTTGATCAACTAACAAATAAATCATGCTTTAAAGCAACTGAAAAAGAAGCGGATACAATTCACAAATAGATATACGAATGATAAAAGTGTCTTTGTTGTTTATTTTATGCAATGTAAAAGATTTGGAGTTTACTGAAAGCACACATCAGTGGCCAATTCAAATTTGTTTTTGAATTAGAAATAAACAAGTAGTTGGCTAGTTTGGTTTCAAGTTCATATCAAATCGATTTTTTTTTAAATCGCATACAGTGTACCAATATAGTTTTGAACATAAATTATCGTCAATTCTCTCGGTCTTGCAATGCATTTTTCACAGTTGGACATATAGAATCGAGCCTATCTACAAATGCAAAACCGACAAGATTATGCGATGCACAAGAGACTGCCGTCTGCACAAAACACTTAAAATACATATAAATGTCTGTAAGAAAAATCGTTAGAGAGTAAAACGTATCATATCGACTCGTTTAGTGAGTGTGTGTGCTTGTTTCGAATAATTTGAGTTTTATTTGTGTACACACAGTCGTTTTTCTAAAGTGGTTTTTATTTGTGCATGAAATTGCAACGCTTTTAATTGCTAAGTGATTGTTAATGATGTTCGTGCTTTGAGAGACTGTTGAACATAAAGCGCGCGCTCACTTTGGCTACTGTATTGAATTGTGGTTTTATGTTGTTTTTTCCCTGCTACTTCGATGGTTCAACGCGCTTCTTGTTTTCGTGTCTTCGTTTTTGTTGTTATTATTTGAAAACAACGTGTATGCAGTGAATTTGTGAATACTTGGCTTGTGGCATCGGCGCACTTCTTATTAAATTTCGGCTGACCGGTTGTCTACTGGCAATGTATAGATGTGACACAAACCGTTATAACAACATTTTGGTGTTTTTATTACAAGCTGCTTCAATTACCAACGGATTAAAATTGATATTTAAAAACATTGGCCGCGCAATCATCGACATTTTATTTTTATTTTATTTTTTATTTAGCTCTGGTTCCCTCTCGCCTCTTCGGGTTATTATGGGCAAACAACCGTACATGAGCACATGATCAAGTGTTTTGCATTCATATACCACAGACACTTTAATGATAGAATATAAATCAAGTTGAATGCTTGGTCAAATGCAATTATAGAGTATAAATAATAAATATTGTAAAATAAAACTTGTCGCTGTTGCGAATAAAAACACAAACACGCATGAACTTCGAAAATAGCTAGTTGATTCTGTTTCAACTGGTCATGAAATGCTGCTATTTAGTGTAGCTGTTGTTCAGCATTGCTACAATGATTGAAGACCAAAGAGAGAGAGAGAGAGCGAAAGAAAAAAACATTCAATGGAAAACTATTTCATCGAGAGTTTGCAATTTCGGTTCAAATCGTCAATCGTGCTGAACAATACAATGGAATACTATCGAAGTAGTGGGCAAAAATCATTGCTCAAACATAAAAGTGTTTTTCTCAAATGCATTCATATCGATCATCCACTTGAGGTATATATATAAATACACACACACACACACACACACAATTTAGCATGCATTTCCGTAAAACGCCCAATCCCATGCCATTTTGGTGCATCGAAGACAATTTTATCGCTGTGATATGTTATATCTCATGTCATCAGTGCTAAACAATCGTGATTGTCCGATATTTCATACTCTCATAACTCTTAGGCCATGACCATCGTTGATTAAATCTCTCGATCTAAACTCATTCACTCGGTGCACTGTTACTATTATTATTGTTGTTGTTGTTTTACAACTGTACATGGATATATTATATGACTAACAATAAAACCAGCTACCTTTAATTGCAATGTGTATAATCTTGAATCATGCCGGTAGGAAAGGCCATCATATTTGATTTTTTATTGGCCACTTTGTCTTATTTAAAGCATTTCAATTCCATTGCATTCGTATGCCATTTTTTTATCCCCCGACATTTTATTTTGCCAATTAAATTCAATCGATTTTAATTGAATTGATGTAGTCAGTTGATGGGGAATGTTATTTATTGATTTCGGTTTTTATGAAAACTTTTATATGGCACTCCGATTAAGACAGACACACACACACACACACAATAAATGTAAAACTGTTTATATTCGATGCATCTCACGCGCATTTGGTTTAATTCGTAAGCCATTTTTTCAAAGAGTATAAATCGTTTTACCAACTTCAATTTGTGGTCTATTGGGATAGTTATTGATCTGAAAAATGTGACGACAACAACAACAACAACTATGGTGTAGTATTAACCGAACAACAAACATATAGCACACAGCATGTGTGTATTATTGACAGTTTGTCGTTCTCGACTTAACGGCCGGAAAAAAAATCGCACAAGAATATGTAATGCTTCCGAAGTGCACATTCATTTCAAAATATTCACAATCATTGATCTGGTTACACACTAAAAATTTCTAATGTATTAAAAAAACTAGACTTCTGACATAAAACGAACAATAAAATTGAATACTTGCACGATCTATGATATAAATTCAGGCTACAGTTGTTAGGTCTTCTTCCTCTTTGGCTGTTTTCATACTTTCTTCTATTGCTATAAACTCCGGTGTTAAATGAAACAATTTCAGAAAAATGACTGAACAAAATGTGCTCATGGCGGCAATTTATAATGAATATCTTTCTCATTTACATAAAATCATGAAATGATTTACAAATCACATCATCGACAAACTTCTTTTTTTTTCTTCACTTAAATTTTATGTTTTGCTCATTTGCAGGGTGACTATATAAAACATCCAGTTTTATATGAATTAAGCCACAAGTATGGATTCACTGATAATTTACCTGAAAGTGCACTTCCAAATCGCCTGGAGGAGATCAAAGAAGCAATCAGACGGGAAATCCGCAAGGAATTAAAGGTAAAAAAATTATTGTTTCAAATCAATTATTATTGAATTGTTCGTTAATCTAAAAAAAATGGAAATTGACAAGAGGGGGCAAAGAGCAACGAAAAATTAATGACTTTGGTATTGTCGTTTAGATCAAAGAGGGTGCTGAAAAATTGCGTGAAGTGACAACAGATCGTCGCTCATTATCCGACGTGGTATCCATTGTAAAGAAAAGCAATAGCAAATTAGCTGAACTCAAATCTGAACTGCACGAACTGGAAAGTCAAATATTACTGACGAAAGGCAACACCGTTAGCAATGGCCAAGGTGAGTAACCACTTTTTAAATAATTTATTTCATCTTTTTTTTTGGGTTTTCTATTTTCTCTTGTCATAATGTTTCTAATTGCTGTTTCAATAGTTTGTGCCCATGAACTACATTTTCAAATGTATGTGACTGTGAAAAGAGATTGAATTAAAGTAGAAAAATTTATGACATTATATCTACTTATTTAGCTTGAATCAGTTCAAACGTGTCATGATGAAAGGCCCCCTATAATAGGGGTGTGTCACGACATTCAAAAATGAGTATTGTGTGATTTTCACTTGAGCAAGGAATCAAATCATTGAATACCGCTTGATTTCATTTTGTGTAGAATTTTATTATTTTATTTTATTTATTTTTAATAGAAAAAAAAAAACAAATTGAAATTAATTTAATCAATACTACACCAATATGCACTTCCGTACTCTCAAACCTCATTCATTATTTCTACATAAAGCGGTACATTTCATGACACCAACTCGATTTTACTATAGACTTACCGACTAAACAATGATTCGTTGAATTGGATACTAGGGGATAGCCATGAATTGCAGATCGAATAATTTATAATAATAAACGCTATTTCTCTCTATTTTTCACTAATTCTGCTAGTATTTCTACTAGTTTGTTCTAATACTGCTATTTTTTGCTAATTTTTCTAGTACGTCAAAAATATTGCATACGTCAGATTGACTGCATGATCGAATAACTGAAATGTGTTTACTTAAATGTTTCAAGTTGACACTTTCAACGTGTATATTTGAAGCAGGCACTAGCGTATACATTTTCAGTAAGAAATCTGTCATCAAATCTACATTTCCGATTGCAATTCGTAAATTGTAGTTAATACAGATGGAACGTGCTTGGTTACGTGCCATTGAATATATTTTTATTTAAAAGTGGGAAAAAGCGTATTCAACTACATATTTTGATACATTTTAGTTCAACACTATTCAATTCGTTTGTTTTGTGAATTTTATTTTAATTAATTATTTCAATAAATTCAAGAATAAATGCTTACTAAAGTATATACATGTACAGTGCTAATTCTGCTATTTATTGCTAATTTCGCTATTTTCTTCATGTAAATTTCCCTATTTTTTTGCTAATGTGCTAATTCTAATTCGCATGGATATCCCCTAGATTGGATAGATTATAGCAATAACTCGATCACAATGTACCCCATTATCTATGTGTTATTTCAAGCAGCAATAATTCACTTTATTTATCAACAGAAGTTATTTTAAGCGCTTCCACATTGAACAATTTATTTTTATAAAAAAAATGTGAGTCTATTAAATAAAAAGAGCAGAGTGTATCTGATTGAAGTCATGACTTGAAAAATTTATTGAGAGAAAAAACTGAAAAATTGGTAAACAAAGTGTGTTCCTATTTTGTTTTGATAACATTTCGCCGACCGAAACTTGGTCGTGTTCACAGCAGTATGCCTGCAAATGAATGCGTGCATGAAACATAGCAAAATAGCTGTATCACAAAGAGTATTCAAAGCCCAAAATGGCAACGACCGCCAACACAGCCGCCGCCACAGCGATGAACGACTCTAATTAGAAAATGAAAACATTGTCATTTTTATTGTTTGTTTTACGAAAGTGTCGTACCTTATTTTGTATCAAAGAAAAATGAAATGGTATGTATATATAGAAGAAAAGACGGGTGATAAAAAGCGTAATTAACAACGTTAGCATTTTTTTAAAATATGATTTGCTTGCATGTAATGTAAATTCACAATGATTATGGCCGTGTAAGTATATTATTAATGCCGTTCATTAAAAATCATCTATTTGCGAGCATTTTGCATCTCTTGATAGGCTTGCTATGAGAAATACAAGCAGCAACAATAGCGGCAAGTCAATTCATTCAGTGAATAAAATGCTGACGTCTTTCTTCAAGCAAACAATATAAAAAAAAGGAACACAAAATTTCTCTCATGGATTGCGAAAAATTATACATCTCTGTAATATGGCGTTTTAACATGTAACAAACGTCATTGAAAACTATGTTTGTTTTTGTAGTTTTTTTTTTAGTTATGTGTCGTTTCATTCACTCGATCTCTTTCTTTCTTATTGGAAATCTATCTACGACAAACTAGCATTCAAGAAGAATTGTGCATCATCGAAACTGAACATCGTGTTTTTTTTGAACGACGTTTTTTTCTCTCCCTCTCTCCTCCTTTTTCTCTTTCATTCCTTTCTAACATACAAAAAAAAAGCAAAGAACATGGCAACATTTTATTTATTCTGCAATGTTGATGCTGTTGCCACAAGACATGCTGCAAATTTATGTATCTATCGTTTTGTTTTTCACTGTTTACACACTAGAAAATTTCTCACTGCATTTTTGCTGTGCGGAAAAACAACAACAAAAACTAAATAAAAGAAAAACGAATATAAAAACTAAACCAGAACAACATAAAATTTGAAATTAAAGTATTTCCAAACCATGTGCAAAATAATACACCGACCTCTCGCTAGATGAATGTTCATTTTTTTGTGTTTCATTTACAAAGTAGACGATGAAAAAGTCGAGCAAAAAATGTGTTGAAAAGGGGTTCTCAATTGTGTTGTTAACACTGCACATTATTTTGCTTTTCATATCCCATTGTTCATAAGTTCTGATGGCGGCGTTAACTAATAATTTCATCGTCCGAATTCATAATATGAACTCATATCAGTAATTTACGTTAGGATTGCAAAGAATTCGTGAACAGTGGATGAAGTTTGAAAAAAAAAA